TATCTGTTCCGATTCAACTTACGTTTGATCGCAACTGCGAGGTGCCTTGCGATTACATGGATCCCCCCAGCTCAGTCAGTCACGCCGCTATGGGCGCGTCACCACTCGCGGTACAGTGCTCGTGCGTGTTGTCTCTTCTGGCCGGGTAGCTTTACCGGATGTGTCAGTGAGTGTGAATCTGGTAAAATATCGCTGCAATATCTCCCCGTTCGACATCTCATCAGCTCCATTTCACGTAAGTTTTTTTTTTTAATTTAATTCCTGTCCCATTTAATCGTTCCCCAACAAAGATGGTCCTTTCTAGTATTTATTCTACAAAAGCACAACGATCGGTACCTATGTTAGTCGCATATTAGTTCTAACCACAAACAATTCTACATCTACCTATTACTCGACATTTCGCAATTTCGATGACGCAAAGTACAAGGACCATCTAAAGTCGCAAAGTGTCAAAACGTCGACCTCAAACCACTACTCTCAACTCTGCACCTAAGTAACAGAAGAAATTCTGCAGTAAGCTCAAGCATTCGTATCTGTCGAAAATCATAACTCATAGCCATATTCATAGATCGATTGCATGAATCAGTCGCCACCTTAAAACATTACATTCCCTTTCAACCGCATTTACCTGTTCAATAATTGATTTCGACTTCGCAATTAATTCCTACAGCAATATTACCAATGATTTCGCAATGCAACTTTTAGTGAGTACAGCATGAATCTACACCCTTAATTTCAAAAACTTCCCAACCTCAAAACGCACCCGCCGGTAATAAATCGAATGAACCAGTTTGACCAAGGACAAAGACATTTCAACGCTGTCACGCATCCTGTCAACAATTTCAGCGTTCGTGACACTGAGCTGCTTATTCAAATTTTAGCATCCCGTTCTCGACCTAATCGTGAACTCGCAACTGACAATAACGGTTTGCTGGCGACTCTGACATGAGTTCGAAATTCAGCTCCTAATATGCTACTAGGGTGTCTGGACCAATAAGTTCAAAGTAATTTAAGTTTTCCAATTCCAATTGAGAGTGCATTTTATGGCAACCGAAAATGTTTGGCAGTCGTCACGGCACGGCAGGCTGGGCAAAAGGGGGGGGGGTCAAGGATTGGGATTGAGCAGACTTTTCAACAACACTCACATTCTGGAGTTCTCTGCGCTTCCGCTTTTCAGTGTGGTCTCAAGCGTCGGCGGTTGTCCTCCGGCTCTGGTCGGTCGAACTGAAGAGGCTTCTCGCGGGTGACCCCGGACCGACGGCGGCCTCCAGATGGCGTCTCCGGCTCCGGCTGCAGACTGTGTCTCCGGGGTGAATCGTGCACCTTTTATAGCTCGAGGGGCTGCCACGCCCTGAGCCGACCTCGGAGTCATTGCACCCAGGGTGTCTTTGTTACTCCCGTGCGTTTTCACTTGGCCGCTCACCATCTTCATATTGGGAGTTTTACCAGTCGGTTCATCGATGTGTAGGATATAAGAACCTTGATAAAAGTGTGAATTAGCTCTGTCGTGCCGTTTCTTTATCCTCAACCACTTTCATTCTTATATCGACTGCGTATCTGCCCGCAGCAGCCTTCTTTTCCTCTGGTTATCCAAATACCTCGTAGCTAAACATCTTATCACATTCCATATAGCTCGTCGTTGTTTGTTTGAATTGGGTTGAATTCCATAACAGCTTTAGTTAGCTTCAACAGCGTTTCTTGTTCCAGCCACTTACAATGTACTTAGGAGACGACACTTCGTATTTTAGCCTTCATCTTAGATTTTGGCGAATCGGTGTATTCCGTATTGCTGTTTCCGATACGACCATTGCGCTGAGCTGGTATAACTGTTTTCCCGACGTCCTCTTGCTTAGTCTCCAGGCTTGGGATTTGCAGACATTGTTCATGGCCGGCTGCTCCATTTTCTTGGTTGTATTTTGCTATTAACCTGACGGTGACTCTAGCCCTTGGAATTCAAGCCTGCATTTGCCACAAGCCCCATATTTGTCAGTCATTTCTCCCGCGGCTACTGTATGGGCTGATTACTTTAGGAGCCGTCCGATCTTCCATCAAAATGGTTTTATCTCCCAGAATCATACATCCTTTGTTGTCAACCTTTCTCGCGTCTGGATAGTGCTGCCCCCTTCGGTTGGCGGTAGCTCTGGCAACTAGTACCTTGGGCGTGTCCCCATCGTCAGCTGGCTAACACCCCCCGCTTCGCTGCTGACCTTTGCCCGCCAGGCCTTGTGGTTGCGGGGTGTGGCCGTAGCGTGCTGCCTCTTCTATTCAGTGGCGAAATCTGGAACTACAGGTCATTGCTTGCTGCTGCTGTGCAGGTCACCTTCAAGGCGTTCTGCCGGGTCACTCACCCTGGGTTGTTGTACCCCGACAAAGGAGGCTGTGTGCTCCAGCCGGCATCCATCCTTTACAGTGCTCCATGATCTGTTGACATATCTTGCTGATCCAGCGTTCCCAGCCGGTATCTGTTCTCGGCATGGGTCCACGAGCTGTTGACAATCTTACTGATCCAGCGTTCCCAGCCGGTATCTGTTCTCGGCATGGGTCCATGAGCTGTTGACAATCTTACTGATCCAGCTGTTACTTGTTTGAGTTCGAATCGTTCATCCTGCGGTAGCTGTCTCCAAAAGCGCGCGTCTTAATGGGAGTTTTACGGCTGCCCATTCTGTGCGGACAGTGATAGATTAGGGAAAAGGGGGGGGATTGGGTGTGGGAAAGCGAGGCTAGGCGTGTGGCCGGTCGGTGAGGGGAACTGCCGAGCCGAGTCGACCCGTGACGGTCTGGCCCGGTGTGTTAAGTCTGAGGTGGAATTTGGAAAAGATGTAGCCTGCTACAGTATGCCGGTACTGACCCATCCAACCGGTAGGGATTGGTGACTGAACCTATACAAGCACACCCACAATATGCATACATGTGCCTGTTCATTAGCCGTGGGTATGGAGCGGCGGCGAAAGGTCACCTGCCGCCGATCTGTACCGCTCCCCCGTGCCGTGTCTGCCGATCTGCTAAATTATGGAGACAGGAAAAGTCCGGTATTGACCCCTTGTACCGCCTGGTCTGTGGACACATGGATAAAGAATGGTGCCACATGGTGCATGATATATGATTTCTGGCTTCTGTCTTGGTTACTGATACTTCTGTCTTGATACTGATCGAAACAGTAGGTATCATGACCACACTGCGAGCAGCTGCCTCATAAGTATGGGTTTTCACATTCGTCAATTCTGTCAACAATAACATGTCTCCTATCATTGACGAGCTGGACAGGTATAACCAGCGATTTCCAATTACGTTAAGCTATGAGCGCGTCGAGTCATATGTCGATAGATAAACCGATATAAAGGTTTATGGTCGAGCATGAAAGATCAAGCCCCTGCTGCCTTGAATAAAAAGTGTATCCTTCTTATGTACAAGATAAAAGTATCATCATTTGAGTAGGCACGAATGGCCAAGAAGTCGAAGTGACTGTTGTGGTTTCACTCGTGGATCTGACGCAAATGATTCTCGGTACACCTTGAGTCGGACGGATACAAAAGCCCTTCTTAATGTCAAAAGCAGCAGAACGTGTTTCTATTGTCGCTCCGTTCCTTACTTTAACAACCCTACTGTTAGCTATCGACAGTCTTAGGCACATGACGAAGACACATGAGTTAATGACTGCGGTTCGCCATCTGTCCCTTCAAGTTAAAAGCAGATGAAATCTTTCTTTTCCGTGGCCTTGGGCAAGGCTATTGTTTAACCCGCGCCCTGCTGGGGGTCCTGGATTTCCACGCCCTGCTGGGGGGGTGTTTGAACACCCCCCCCCCTTCTAACTCGGCTCCTGGGCCACGTAGCGATACGCGGAAGGCGGCGTTCGAAAGAGCGTAAAAAATAATGACGAAATCACTTCGGTCAATTTTTTGGTCAGGTCAAAGGTCAGGTCACCAGAGGTCATTGAAGGCAAAATTTCGCCGATTTCCGGGTCGAATGTCGAAAATTTCCAAGAAGCCAACGCATAACTCGGGAACCAATAGAGCTACAGCGCCGCGGAAAAGTGCATTCGATAGCCCTATTAACGCCCTTTCTGAGTAATTCTCTCAGATTTGACCTAACGTCAACGGTTTTGCCTGCAAGGGGCAAAAACTGCAAAAATAGCCGATTTTTTCGGAAACAGTTTTTCTGCAATAACTTTTGACCCAAGCCTTGTACGAGCTTACTTTCACCGGCATCGTGTTCCTCTCGTCAAGACGCATCGAATGAACTATAACTTGACCTTGAAAGGTCAACTTGAAAATTTGACCTCAGGTCAAGGTCATGACCTGACCGGAAAGGGTCATGTTGCATATCAGTCGATCCGTATCGTCGAGCTGAACACATATAAGGCATTTTCATCGCTCTAGGATGCCTCTATCAAAAGTTATTTGCGAAAAACTGTTAGATACCATTCGTGACCTTAGATGACCTCAGGGCATAAACAAGGGTCACGGACACCATTTTCATGTTCAGTTTGTCTAAACCACTTGAAATTCGGTGTTTGGGAGTGTTTATAATGTCTTTCGTCCAAAAGAGACGCATTTCATTTTTCTCCCATTGACTTATAATGGGGAGGTCGCAAAATTGACCTGACCTTAGGTCATTGATATCAAAATTCTGAGATATACATTTTGTACATGCTATTGCTCTTAGCAATCGCTGAAAGTTTCAAAGCGATCGGTCACTCGGTGTAGCTATGACAGACATTGAAACTTTTTATGAGGTGAGGTCACTTCAAGTGACCTGGTGACCTGACCTTGAATGACCTTGGTCTGAAATTTTTACAACATGTGTAGAATTGATGTATGATAAGGTGTACCAAAAACGGCGGCGCTCCGCGCCGCCGTTTTTGAGATATTCGCGAAAAACCACAAGGGGGGTGTTCAAACACCCCCCCCCCCCAGCAGGGCGCGGGCTAACGTACTGACGTACTGACGTTATTGACGTGGTACGTTATTGACGTACTGACACTTACCTGATCTTTTCCGCAGGTCAGTCCGGCGCCGGCAACAACTGGGCGAAGGGCCACTACACAGAAGGCGCCGAGCTGGTAGACAGCGTCCTCGACGTGGTCCGACGAGAGGCAGAGAACTGCGACTGCCTGCAGGGCTTCCAGCTTGCGCACAGTCTGGGCGGCGGCACCGGCTCCGGCATGGGCACCCTGCTCATCTCCAAGGTGCGCGAGGAGTACCCGGACCGGATCATGACCACTTTCTCGGTCACACCGTCTCCCAAAGTCTCCGACACGGTCGTCGAGCCGTACAACGCCACACTGTCCACGCACCAATTGGTCGAGAACACGGACCAGACCTTCGGCATCGACAACGAGGCGCTCTACGACATTTGCAACAACCAGCTGAAGCTGATGAATCCTACGTACGGTGACCTAAACCACCTGATATGTCTCTGCATGTCGGGTGTCACCACTTGTCTGCGCTTCCCCGGCCAGCTGAACGCCGACCTCAGGAAACTGGCCGTCAACATGGTGCCCTTCCCGCGTCTGCACTTCTTCGTGCCCGGCTTTGTGCCGCTAGTGGCGAGGCCCAGCGAGTCGTACCGAGCACTCACCGTGCCGGAGCTCACCCAGCAGATGTTTGACGGTCGAAACATGATGGCCGCCTGCGACCCCCGGCACGGTCGCTACCTCACTGCGGCCGCCATCTTCAGAGGACGCATGTCCATGAAGGAGGTCGACGAGCAGATGCTCAACATCCAGAAGAAAAACTCCAGCTACTTCGTGGAGTGGATTCCGCACAACGTCAAAACCGCTGTATGCGACATCCCGCCGCGAGGTCTGAAAATGTCAGCCACATTCATCGGTAACACAACTGCCATCCAGGACCTTTTCAAGCGCATCTCTGAACAGTTCACTGCCATGTTCCGGCGCAAGGCTTTCCTCCACTGGTACACCGGCGAGGGCATGGACGAGATGGAGTTCACCGAGGCCGAGAGCAACATGAACGACCTCATCTCCGAGTACCAGCAGTACCAGGAGGCCACTGCCGATGACGTAGAGTATGATGAAGAGGAGGATCTCGAAGGGGAAGGCATGGACATTGGACAATGACCAATACGATGATCAGGAGTAGCTGAGGCACCGTCACGTTCAGACTTTGAAACAACGATCCTGTGGAAGGCGATGAAACCTTTTCCGGCGGGTGCCGGGACGTTCGCACAGCTGTATTCTGAAGGTCACCTTCTTTCGGAAACTTGTCTATCTGCTTACACTTGCCTGTGATTATCTCTGTTATTGTAACAGCATGAAGTTGTATCAGTAATCATGATTTATAAAGGAAAAACAAATGTTTTGGCATTCTTTAAAAGCAATATGTTAAAATATACTCTAGTCACTTTTACTAAAGTTGATTCAGGACATTACGTACATAGGTATTCCTCATTATTGCTTACCTTTTTACATTCATTGTAGGTATGTGTAAACCTTGTTTTGCCTTTTGCAATTCAATATTAAACATCTAATCATTTTACAACGAAAACATCACAATGTCATCGATGCAAACATCAAATGGATGGCTCATTTGTTATACCTAAATGTAAGATATATTCATCATTAGCATACAGCACACCAGTCGTAGCTCATAAACGAAATGGATGCAATGAATACGGCGAGTAAATACATCAAATACGCACACGTTTGTACTGTTTTCCGCCTTTATTTGTAGAGGGTACATTAATTAACCCTCGCCGTTTCGCCCCTGGTGGAGCTAGCGCGTCGCGAAAACAAAACGAGCGTGTGCGCCATTACGAGACATAGAGATTGATAACCGATTTTAAGGTCCTAGGTCAACCGGTGACCTCTGAGGTCAGGTCAAGTGCCCAAATGTACGGTTCAGTTTTTGGTGAATAACTTCGCAAAAAAGGCCGCAGAGCCGCGATGTTGGCAGCATCGTGTTTGCCTCGCTAAGGCACGTCGAATGATATGCTTTTTGTTTGGGTCAGGTCAACTTAGGGTGTTGACCTCAGGTCACGGTCAGGTCAGCGCCCCCAGGTCACGAAGCTGGTCGGAGGAGGTCATTTCGCATATCATTCTATTTGACAGGTCTTCCTGAGTCCACTGGTGGTTTTCCCGACTCGCTAGCTCAATTTGATCGGGAGTTATTGACGAAAAGCGAATATGACCTTGATGACATCACAAATAACGTCACGCAAGGTCAACATTGCAAAAGGGACGCATCTAACTTTACAAGGAGTGCATCAAATCACGATTATGTGTGCTTGAGATAGTTGGAGATCGTTCCCGGCGCCAGAATAGCAGTTTTCATTTTTCCCCATTGACTTATAATGGTGAGGTCACGAAAATGACCTGACCTCATATGACCTTTAGGAAAAATCCGAGATATACAAGTTGTGGGACTCATAATGGATATTAGATCCTGCAAATTTCATTTCCCTATGACATCTCCTCTGGCAGTGAGGGCGTTGCGAAGTTGCGACATCTGAAGACGGTGCAGAGGTTCACTTATGACGTCATAGGTCAGTGACCTGACCTGACCCGAAAATGCGGTTGGTGTCAAAAGATCTAGCTTGAATCAAAGGTCAGGTATGCCAAATTTCTGCTCTCTATCGCCAGCCGCGTGTTCGGAGCTATCGCGAAAAAACCGTGTGGGGGGGGGGGGCGGCACCCCCCTCGGCCGGCGAGGGTTAGATTAAAGTGTTTATTTCAAGTAGCTTGGCGGGCACAATGAATTTGTGTTGTGAGCAAGTCTGTTATTGTGCAAAGGCCACAGCATTGATTTGCTATGGGATGGGATGACTGATAGAGTAAAGAAACTGGACTGAGCACGCACACCACTAAAGGTGGCAAAGAGCGTTCCGGTGAGACGGGAGTGTCCCGTTGGGCAGCCCGTTCTACCATCAAACTGGACACCCCGGCGAGGGTATAGTCTAGCTAAGGACTTCGTTCTTTCATTCCTTTTTGCATTGTTAGGTTAGGCCATTTCAGCCCAGCTAAACAATATGAAACTTGGAAGAATCAAGAATAAGAGTGAAGGGCGGGGGGAGGGGTGGTTATTGGTCTGGCCGACTTATGCTATGCTGCCATGCTATGCCTCCAAGGAGGACCCCATGCCAATCGACCTTGGACAGACCAGCCCGCCAGCACACAGTCATCCCACAGCGCACAGGAACGTGCTCCGAAGGGAGTCAATCAGGACGGTCACGGTTGACTGTGGCCGCTCAGTCCGGAACAAGGTGTTTAACCCTATTAGTGGCAGGCTCCTGGTATACCCCTATTAGTGGCAGGGGGGGCTGTTTACGACCCCCCTTGATATCTCGAGATCTAACGGGCCGATTTTCAAAATTCAAACGGCATTCGATTTCGCTCAACGTGATCTACATTTCTGAAAAATAAAAATTAAAATATGTCAACAGGGGGGGGGGGTAGAGGGGGGTAAAAACGGGCAAATTGCAGATACATTTTAGACTGTTTATCACGGCCAGGTTTCTGAACCAATCCTAACGCAACTTTTGCCGATCGATAGAGAATGAACCAGGAATTCACATGGATCCTAAAAATATGCATTTTCAAAAATCATAGGCGGATACAGATCATTGAGATTGGGGGTACACAAAAAGTATAGTAAATAAGGTTTTTGTTGGTACTGTTTTTAAAAAGGGTGGTAATGGTCTTGTTATGTTACAATTTTCTTATGAGAGAACGACTACTATTGTATTGGTCATACATAGGCGGTGTCAGGGCACCTATGTTGGGAGGTAAAACATAACCCCCCTTTTTGGACGCCTGGATCCGCCTATTATAGCAAAAACGTGTCAAAAGAGGATGCACAATAACTGTATATGTTATCACATGTATACCTTTCATTCACTGTTCGTAAAACTGGTGCAGCATCGTGATCTTCGCCCAAATGACTCGCTTCACGAATAGGACCCCCAATTCCCAGTGCTCTGGAGCCGCCTCTGGTAAAGTTATGAACTTGAAATTTTCAGGGAATAAGCCCAATTTAGTTTTAGGAAAAGTCAGAAAATTTCAGCATCGTAGCTTCAGCGGTTTCGGAGATATTCCCGAAAAACCTGAGGGGTGGATAAAAACAACCCCCCCTGCCACTAATAGGGTTAAAGGATTGATAACTAAGGATTTCTGTGCCCTAGACTTCTTAGTTTAGATCGAAGGGATCGGAAGGGAATTGCCCACATCATCGGTTGTCTAATGGGTGTGAGTGACCGTCAGCCCTGACATTTGATAGGCCTGACAGTGACAGAGCCTGGGGCATTCCACGATAGATCGTACCAGGCCCGTCACCCTCATCTCTCAGATTTTAATGAAAATCCGTCCTAGGGGTAATCATAGGCCCCAAAGACGCCTGACAAAATATCAGACTTCTCAGATCAAAACTTTTTGAGTTATATTGCATTACATTTTTTTAACTTCGGTTTGTAACGGTGAGTTTGATGGCCTATAACTCAAGAACGGGTTAAGCTACCAGCAAACAGTAAGCAACACTAAGCTTGCGATGAATCAAAAATTAATATTACCATTTAAAAATTCCAAAGAAAAAATTTCATTGTTGAGCAAAAACCTTAATCTTTTTTCATTTGCCTCTAATGACCTTTGGGACCAAAACTTTTCACATTTTCATTTTTTCAAAATAAACTTCATGTCATTGCAAATCGGCATGCAAAAAATTAGAAAGGTGTTCTTTCTATAAAATCCTCATTTTCCCGCAAACAAAATGGGTTTCGGAGGGGTTGATACGACCCCAGCACGCCGTTTCGCTTCTAATAGAGCTAGAGCCTCGCGGAAAAAACGAGCGTGTGTGCCGTAACAAGTCGCAGCGATTGGTACCCGATTTTAAGGTCTCAGGTTAACCGGTAGCGTCTGAGGTTAGGTCAAGTGACTGAAGTTCGGGTTCGGTTTTTAGTAAATAACTTCGCAAAAAATGGCCGCAGAGCCGCGATTTTGGCATCATTGTGTTCGCCTAGCTCAGGTGCATCGAATGGTATACTTTTTGCTAGGGTGAGGTCAACTTAAGTAGTTGACCTCGGGTTAAGGTCAGGTCAGAGCCCCTCCGGTCACGAAGCTAGGCAAAGGGTATCATATGGCATATCATTCGATTCGGAAGGTCTTCCCGAGTCCATTGGTGGCTTTCCCGACCCTCTAGCTCCATTTTATCGGGAGTTATTGACGAAAAACTCGTACGACCCTAGTGACGTCATAAATGACGTCACGCAAGGTTACCAAAGCCGAAGAAAAGCATTGGACTTTGCAAGAAGTGCATGAAATCACGATACCATGTACGTGGGATAGTTTTAGATCATTCTCGGCGCCAAAATAACAGTTTTTATATTTCCCCATTGACCCATTGACAGTGATGTCACGTGACCGACCTGACCTCATGTACCTAACCTTAAAAATTCCCAGATATACAAGTTGAGAGACCTCTGGAGGACACCATGTATGCGTCCTGTAACTTTCATCTCGGACAGCTATGGTCGTTGGCGTCCAAAACAATGTCAGAACCAAACAGCCTTTTTCACCCTCGCGCTTATAGGAAAGAGGGTTGGATGAACCCTCTTTTCACTTTTTTTCAGATGACTCAGACTTCAATTGAAATTTCAGTAACACGTGATGTCACTAGGCAGCTTTATCACGCCATTTGTAAGCTCCCCTCCCGAAATCACTATTCGAAACCGTTATCGTGACGTAAAATAAATACATTTATAGAAAGAACACCTTCCCAATTTTTTGCATATTTGTTAACAATGGGCCAAATATTTTTTTTTAAAGAAATAAAAACTCAAAAAAATTTGGTCCCAAAGTCCAAAAAATACAAATGAAAGAAAACTCGATATGTCATATATCAAAAATAGCGTATTTTTCGAAATTTCAAAAATACATATTAATCTCTGTTTCATTGCAAGTTTAATGTTATATAACATTTGGCATTTGAATAATCCGTCTTAGAGTTACAGCCCGCCAAACTTTGCGCTGCAAAGCAAGATCCAAAAAATGCTATACACCATAACTAAAAAAAAATACTTATCTGATAAGCCTGAAATTGTTACAGGTAGATTCAGAGCCCCTGATTACCCCTGAGACCAATTCTCGTCAAATTCCGAGAGATGAGGGTGTCAAATTGGAAAAAAGTGGTACGATCTATCGTGGAATGCCCCAGCTCTGACAGTTTGCGAGAGGGAGGGGATGCGGAGAGAGGGGATGCACCGGTCCTGAGGTAAGTTGGATGACGCATTGGAATAAGCAAAGTAAAAGAAAAGACTGGGTAAAAAAGTTACATAGATGCCAAAGCCAGTGGAATAAAACCGGATGTTTGTGTTTTTTTTGGGGGGGGGGGGTTAGGCTCTTTCGGTCTGACAAGACCATTGCAGAGCCGGAAGGATGATAGGAATTAGGGGGAGACATTGGTCTGGGCAGGCACCCTAGTGAGTCGCCGGGGCTGAGCCCGTCCAGAGGACAGGCCACCCAGCCCCAAGGCACTCACTGCACCCGGCTACGGGGTGCGCTCCCCCCGCCGCAACCCTCCGGAGGGGGGTTGCGGCGTGGAGGAGAAGGATTTCAGTATCCTGAGGATAGAAGCACGGAACGGTGTAAAACCGGATCAGCCACAGCATGTTAAAAGCACTATTACCGACACCGTGGTGCCAGTTCTGCAA